AAGCCTGTCTAACCTGCACTTGTTTAATAATTTGCTTGAACTTTACTACTGTCTGTCTTTTGTTCTTAGACAGACTGTTACTATCCATTTTAATATTTCTATAATTGCTGTCTTGTCCTAGAAGGATATCCACTGCTAAATATAGCACTATATAGTCCAATAAATACATCAATTTAACTCTGAAAAGTACAGAGAGTGTATCTATAACTCCGAGAACTTCAGCCTGAAAAGCAAAGTATATATATTTGTATCCTAGAACAATAATATGAAACAGTCATTGGTTTGTGTGTGTGTGTGTGTGTGTGTGTGTGTGTATATAATCTTTTTATATATATTATATATATATTGATCTTTTTTTAGATAAGATTTATATTTCAAATAAATGCTGTTATTTTGAACTTGATATTTGTCAAAGAAACTTGCAAAAGTGAAAATATGAAGCAGCACAAATGTTTTCAACATGGTTAATAAGAAGAAATGTTTGAGCAGCTAATCAACATATTAGAATGATTTCTTAAGGATCACGTGACACTGAACACTGGTGTAATGATGCTGAAAATTCAGCTTTGCATCACAGGAATAAACTACATTTTAAAATATATTCAATTAGAAAATAGTTATTTTGAATTGTAGTAATATTTCACAGTATACAGTATTTACTATATTTTTGATATAGGTGATGCAAGCATTTATTTTATGAATCATTCACAAAAAGACTTTGACTTTAAGCTTGAAGGGATACAGGATGAAAACAACAATGGCACATTGTTGTGTTTGCCTGAAATGACCAGTGGGGTCCTAACCATCATTAAGACTCATGGTGGTGGTGCAGGTTAGATTTTAAGGGAACCAAAGACAAACTCGTCCGATGACCAGTGGAATGTGCAGTGTAGCATTCTGCCAAACAACTGTTAGCACAATGTAAGGGGCTCAATCTGCAGAGTCATCTCCATGCCTTTTCCCAGACAGACCCATGGAATGTAGGTGATGACAGAAGCTCCACTCAGCTCCGATGGAGGACAGAGGAGAGACGCTCTGGCACTTTGATGCTCCTTAATGATGGCTGCTCTTCATCGGTTAGCCGGAGCGCTCAATAACATGCTGCTTGATTCATCCATGCAGACAGATGACTGACAAAACCCCATGTTCTACACTCACGGAGGTTTGGGATAGAGTCAAGAGGATTTGTGGGCGGAATTCTCAGATTTCGTTCTGCAGGCAGCTTTGTGCATATTGAAATAGCTGTGATGGTTAGGAAACCGAAATTCTTTGACTGTTGTTCTGAGTTCAGTGTTGCCAGGCTTAAATTGCCTGGGATTTATTTAAGGTCGGAATGAAAGTGACCAACAGGCAGTAAATAAAAAGTCTTAAGAGCTGAATGTTCCCCACGCATACACTGTACAAACCAATTTTTCAAAGTTACAAATAAAACAAAGATTACAGGAGTATGTTTTACAAGAAAATAAAATGTTTGTCTTTGAGCATCTAAATTTCTTTTTTGATTCAACTTGTAAACCCATTGGAGCGTTGATGTGTGTATTTTTATGTAAAAATACTTCTAGCTTACTAAGCAGACAAATATAATGTTTATAGTCTGATTGACTGTGGCTTCTTGGCACTTTCAAAATATTGCTTTGTTTTATGCAGTCAGGCACTGGCTTAACCAATTGTATGAGTTTGGGGCGGGGCTATCAGGTTTCCGACCAATGGAAGACAAAGGGTGTTAAGGAAGCTATTTGAAAAAAGAAAAAATCCAATTCCATTTGGTTATCCCTAGTGGCTTAAAAAGTAACAATCAATCAATTAAATATATCTAATTAAATATATTTATATCCGTACACTGGTGGCCAAAACTTTGGAATAATTAAGATTTTTATGTCTATGTCTCTTATGCTCACCAAGACTGCATTTACTTAATCAAAAAAATAATTTCCACAAATGTTTTTCCAAACATATGAAGCAGCACAGCTGTTTTTGACATTGATAATGACAATGAATGCTTCTTGTGAAGCAAATCAGCATATTCAAATTATTTCTGAAGGATCATGTGGAGTAGACTGGAGTAATGATGCTGAAAATTCAGCTTTCGTGACGGGAATAAATTACATTTTAAAATATATTACAATAGAAAACAGTTATTTAAAATTCTAATAATATTTGACAATATTGTTGTTTTACTGTATTTATAAACAAATAAATGCAGCCATAATCAGCATTGTTTCAGAAACAAATACAATTTAAAAAATGCCAAACATTGCCTGCCAATCTCCCATTAGTCAAAAAATTTTCAGGTTTGCTTCAGCATCAATAAACTTCATATTTGACTTACCAGACCAATGCAACAACTTCCAGCATGCGGCTCGAAACATAGAAATTATCTTTAAAGTTTGATGCAGGAAAAGTCAGAGGTCACTGCTCTTCCCAGCCGTGGATCAAAGATTCTGCAAAGCCCCTGAAAGCATAAGCACAATATTTCATACAGGTCAATTCTTCATTTGCCATTTAAATGAGTGACGTTATCCCCAGTAAAGCAAGCATCAGAGTGGAATTTTTACCCACAGGCTGCAGCCATTTGGGGAACCAAACAGATAACTTTGAGCAAATAATGAGATGGAATTTAAAAGATAACATTTCATCCAATCAGAGAATAATTAGATCAACCATCAATTCATTAGATAATGACTTTAGGTTTTTTAATGGGGCATTGGGGCAAAACTGAAGCACACAAACACCTCCCTCCACACCAGCAGACCATCTCCTCTCTTGGGTTCAGCCCACACCAGTAGACAATAAGGCAAAGATAAACATTCTTTTCACTCTCCGCGGTCCTCTTGTTTTGAGTAATTAAGGCTACTTAACATGCATTGTGAAGTGTTATGAATCTAAAGCACCTTTGGCCAATGGAGAGCTTAGAGCACTATGTTCATGACCTATTGTTTAGGCAACAAGGTGAACGTTAGGGGAGCGGCAAATGGGAATAAAAGCACGTAAATGTTTTTTATTGCAACTTTAACAGGCTGCATATTCCTTATTAAACTAGCACTCCCGAAAGCTATCTGTAATCGTTTAAGTGATCATCTGATTTGTGAACCCAGCTCACTTTTACTGGCCAGGACTGGTAGAGACCAGTATCACCTGAGGAATGGAATGCATCAGTGTATTTTAATTGCTAAGTGGATGATCCAGGGATTATCCCTCATAAGATGTTATTGTCTTGGAAGCACACAAAGATATCTTTTGATCTCAGTGGGGTTTAATCTACCGCTGTCTCTCCCAGCTCAATGGCCCAGCTGCTTTTGTCAAAACAAACTTGCCATCAACACATAATTGAAATGAATACTTGTAACCAATGAGGGGTTTTCATATGCGGATTCCTTCCACATACGTGCTGTTGACTAATCAGACGTCCACGGATTTGTCTAATAGTAATGGTTTCAGTCTTGACATCTGACATCCACGGCACGTTTATGCCCACCTGTTTGCCTCTGTGGAGCACAAAACAGTATTTTATAGCCCATAAACATAGTATAAATAAAATCTAGATTAAATATATAAACATCTATTTCATTAAAAGGATTTTAAAGGCTGCTTCTCTCTCTGTTTACATGTTCTGAATCTGGATTCAGGACAGGAGGTCACTTTTAAACCCCCTGGTCTGAGAGAGCAAAGGGCACTGGATTTGCAAACTCTTGTTAATGAGCATAATCCAGTCGTAAAACAAGATTTAAACCAGCCATTAACACATCTTGATCAATGATAACCAAGGATTTAGCTTCTTCGCGAAGGTATCATCTTCTCAGCATGGGTTAATATCATGTCATGCGTCAAAAAGGCATTGGCCTTATTATAATATAGTATGTTAACTGTGGATTCAAGAGAAAAAGTAGAACTTATTTATGCATACAAACTTTATATTTTCTATAAAGCTGCTTCAAAAAAAAAAAAATTTTTTATTAATTAAATAAATAAATTAGTGTGACAGAAATATAGAGAAGTCATATAGAAATATATACTTTTAAAATAAAATCGTTTAGATCTAAATGTACTTTAATAGTGAGTAAATATATTTGTCAAAACCCTGTCAATGTGAAAGAAAAATAAGATTTTCCAGACAATATTTTAATAAATTCTTAGTTTATTTAGTAAATTATTATTATTATTATATTTTTTTTACATCACATTTACTATTTTTTGCACATTATTAATGGCTTTTTTTATACATGTGTTTTTATTACATCAAGGGGAATCATATTTGGGAGTGTTTTGGCATCATAAAGTTTGTAAGATCAAAATGTCTGTAAAAGATAAAGTACTGTACTTTTACACTTTTTTCTTATAACACAGGGGTTTTAAATCTGGGGACCGGGGACTCCCAGGGGGCTGTAAAGGGGTGCTATCTTGTATTTTTCTATCCTCAGGCAATATTTTCTGTAAAGCTGTTGTGTTGAGAAGTAAGAAATAACTAGCCTATTAAATAATAACAAAAATTCTTCAGGTTTAAAAGAATATTCATTGTCAATTTAAAACAAAATAAATATTTTACAGCCAATATATTGCAATGACAAAATATAAAAAAGGAAATTATTTATTTTCTACATCACTTTCCTATTTTCAGTATATAACAAAGAGTGAAAAATTTAAGGGGGTCTGAATACTTTCCGTACCCACTGTAAATGGCTCTTTATACGTGACAGTAGCCATACTATTTATAGTTACGGGACCATCATGTTTGGGAGCATTTGGCATCATAAAGTTTGAAAATCCCCATTTCAAAATGTAATATTAGGCTACTTTTTACCGTATTAAGGTAACTTCGTGATTACACGTTTTAACTGAGCCATATTACATTCCTTTCCCGTTGAAATTACTAATATGTTTACCGTGTAGAATGCATAAAATATGCGCAAGGACAAATTCGATCAATCAACACACAACTGTGGGCATGTTCAAACGTTTGAATGGAGAGTAGGCTACGCTGCGCGTTTCAATGGACCTGAATGATGACAGTAATTGTGACATCACCAGACAACAAAAAGACTCGCGCTCGCGGAGCGAAGCGCTCCAATCAATGGCACAGACGCGACGCGTGCTGCACGCAGAGATGAGTCTCCAAGCAGCCTCCAAAAACTTCTGCTGATCAGAATTTTTTAGGCGAAAAATTACAGATCCAGGACTTTACGAACTCGCGCTGTCACTCTTGGAATTGCTGCTTTCTTTGACCTAAGCGTTTGCGCACTTCATTACAGTTAACTGCAGTCTAGTTTGAAGCGTTGCTCAAGTATGAACAAGAAGAGGCGACCTGAGTTGCGGCGAGTCTCTGTCGTGGGATAAAAAAATAGTCGCCTGTGGATTAAAACACGAATTCATGAGGAATTTAAGAGACGACGGGAACGCAGACCGGCCACAGCGCTTCCTCCTTCGGTAACGCTACAACTTATTTCTTTAATATTAAGTTTTGCAAACAGTGCGAGTGTTTTTGAAAGCCAGCGTTGACATTTCAATACCTCAATGCATCGTGTATCACCTCACAGAGGTGCATACATGTAGTCTGTAAGGTCAGAAGGTATGCTCAAATGAAAAGAAAACATTTTTCTGCTTCCTTATCATCAGATCTCTTTGTCGTCTTTGTTGCTTGAGTTGTTTTTGCGTAAGATCTACCACCTGTAGCCTCACAACTCTGCCTCTCCCTCAGCAAAACGTCTTTTGCTAGACATTCAGTCCTTTTGAAGACTTTCCTTTCATGATCTAAAGGCAGACCCCCACTCAGACAATGCTCTTATCTCCCTTTAATTGCAGACTCCATGTCTGCTGTCTTCATGTCTCCCTTCTTTCG